TTGAAAGACGCCACATAAAATATACCTTTTACTGACGAGGAGAGACAAAGCAAAAAAACCTATTAACTCGCAAATAAGAAACTTTGCCATAATAGTGCATTTTTAATTGGCTTTGTCTGCCGAAGATGTTAATTTCTCAAAAATACTTTCCATTCATGGATAGACCCCAGTGGGCCCTTACCACCCCCCACCCCCTCTCTCTCATATAATCTATTGACATATTGCAGCTTTGCTTATATAAATATATATATATATATATATATAATATGAACCAAGCACTGACCAAGTGTATAGTTATGGCCACTCAAGCACACACGCGTGACGGCAAATTTTAAAAGAGCAAGTAGTAAATTTGTAGGATATAGATGTGTGGATTGCGTGTATCCGGGCCGGGGTTCTGCCCAGCTGGACCGTGTATGGGGTTCAGCCCAGCTGCCTGTACTTGTACAAGTATGTTTGAGATAAGAAAGAAATACATCTCAAAGGGATAGAGTAGCTTAGGCTATTTCTACCCCCCTCCCCCCCCCCCCCCGCCTTATACTTGTTAATACCGCTCGAAGAACCAATCTAATAGTTAAGCTCGCTTAATGTGGTCGATGTTTACCCTTGTACTAGAGCTCCAATCATTCGCATGCATTTTAAATATGAGCAGGTAAATATTTATATTTTAAATAACAGGTAAATTTGAATATTATCTACTAAAATTTTAACTACTTAAATTCCCCTTTTTATATTTCTTTGTTCCCAAAAAGTACCATGGACACAAACGCAAGATGATGTTAAATTGCACTACAAAAACTATGCAACCAATCTTTTGGGCATTTTGTTTCCGTGAACTCCCTGCCACACTCCCCGTCTGGGCGTTTAGCTAGCCTATCTCTACCACACCTTTCCGTCGCGTCAAGGGGTCCGCCTCCCGACACTCGCCGACGACCTCTGTTAATTCCAAAGACCCACAACTTGCCAGCTATGGACCACAACACTTCCTCCGCCACGCCTCAGTGGCTGGCCCTTCGTGGCTGCCGCCGCCGCCTCCCCCCCACGCCTCAGTCGGCCACAGGCATGCTCACCTTAGACGTAATGGGGCGAGGAGGAAGGTGGTGGCGATGCGGTGTTTTAATGCACCAAGAATTTGTTGATTGTTGCCGCCGAAGGCGGCTAGTTTATTGTACACCCCATACTCATCCTGTGAGCGGTAGCGCAAAAGCATTACAGAGGGCACAAAAGGTCTTTATGTAATAATCTAAGATGAGGTCTGATAAACAATTTCATCTATCCTTCACACCTTATAGTTACAATGTCGGCTAGTTAGAGAAAGTGCTATTTCAAGAGCTATATATTTACAGTAAGTCATCATACATTAATGCTAGGTCTTATCGTTAATACATAATAGTTTGACCAATGGGGATATTACAGTCATAGGGGAGCTTCTGTTTATTATTAGTCCTCACAATACACTACTTGTTTCTGAATCTCGTGTGTCGTTTATCTACTGGAAGCGAAATGTGGATACAGTGCAAGGATTTCAGGTAATTTATCAAGAATGGTACTACAGAGCCGGGTGATGGGTAAAATAATATGTTTGGCTGATATAAGAATGGGATTAAATAGGGCGGTATGCATTAATGTGTAACTTTAGGGTATTCCTTGTATGGTGTATTACCTGTTTACGGTTTTAGGTAAATATTCGTAGTGTCCTCCCTGCTTTGTTTCTAAAGACTGAGGTTTCTGAAGTTACATTTTATCATAAATGTGTTTTAAAGTGTTAGAGGTTCTAAGTGTTAGAGGTTCTAACAGACACTGTGTTTCTTGAAGAGCATTCCCTGTGTCGTCTGCTCTATTTGGCAAGTCAAATTTATTGATCTATTTTCATTAGTTTGGAAGTGATGTGTGAGAGAGAATCACATTAGAATAGAATAGGCTATGTTGCATACCAGTCTCCGTGGTGTAGTGGTAAGACACTCGCCTAGCGTTCCGCGAGCGCTTTGTCATGGGTTCGTATCCTGGCCGGGGAGGATTTACTGGGCGCAAATCCTTAACTGTAGCCTCTGTTTAACTCGACAGTTAAATGGGTACTTGTTTGTAACAACGATTCTTCGCGGCGGGGATCGTATTCCAGGGACTTGCCCGAAACGCTACGCGGACTAGTGGCTCTACAAGAATGTAACAACTCTTGTATATATCTAAAAAAAAAAAACAAGTTATAAATGTTCCAAGGGGAAAACAACATGCACAATTCTGTAGATCTGTTTAGCAAAATAGTGCTAGACCAACAAGCGAATTATTGAGCCAAGACGTTGATCTTTGAACGTTTTTCTCAATATTAAACCTTTCCATGCCACAACTTTATTCTCGTTTTAACATTTCCTATCATTCGTTTTCAACCATAGTATCAAACTGTGTTTTATTGTATCGTTACATATAACGCTACGGAATTTGTGAGTAGTGGATTTTACAAATTCTAAAGGGAACGGTTCGGAATTTGTTGTATAATGGTAAAAGGTAGTCCAGGCCCCTAATGGGCGCCATTCAGTAGTAGATAGGTTATCAGCGTATTAGTATGGCTGCCATTAGCCTACACGAATTCAACAGCTGAGTATTTTTATGTTGGAGCCTTAATGGGTAGTAGATCTAGTCGGACGAGGGGGTGGGGGGGGGCACTAACCTCACCGAATGAGAGGGTGGGGCACTAACCTTTTTTTTTTTTTTTTTTTTTTTTTTTTTTTTTTTTTTTTTTTTTTTTTGCAAGTAGCTGAGACTATTATTGTAAGGTGTGCGCAAAAATAGATTAAATTGCCAATATAAAATCTCCGCCGAAGTCTGATTAAGACCTTATAGGTCCTCTAATCCATTTTGCGCTACCGCTCACAGCATGATCATGGGGTGCACAATAAACAAGCGGCCTCCGGCGGCAACAATCAACATCAATCATGGGCTTAGGAAGTGAACTATTCGTTTAGTTAAGTACGTTACATCATTGATGAACTGTTTACAGACGCCTTCCCTATACCTGCCGTCCCAAACTCTTCCCAGACCAGCACTCGTTCCTGTAATGTGGTACTCGTCAAACACTTGATGGTGAGGAGGCACTCTAGGAAGAAGTACCGGAGGGGTCGAGAGGCCGAGGTCACAGCCAAGGTCCTGGAACACTTGCGATGGTAGTATCGAGGGGGTTAAGACCGACGCGCTCTTCCATCTGCGAATGTGCGAGTGGGAAGATATAGATGGGTCTCTTCTCTCTCTCTCTCTCTCTCTCTCTCTCTCTCTCTCTCTCTCTCTCTCTCTCTCTCTCTCTCTCTCTCTCTCTCTCTCTCTCTCTCTCTCTCTCTCTCTCTCTCGCCAAACTTTGCAGGGTGACTGGTGGTTGTTAGTGAAGGGTCATAAGCGGGTCGGGGCTGACCCCCCATGCCCCTCCCCTCTTCCCTTTGCACGAAATGGCAAATGATGTCAAATTCCATTGTCTGTATATATATCAGACTCCATCCTTACTAAGATTCATCCAGCAGAGTTTATACATAGTGAGCTACTTGTACCTCAACTGGGCGGTGGTGCCAACTGGTTATCTTTAGTTTGTCACTGTGGATATTCAGTATACATATATAATTTATTATATATATATATATATAAATCAGAATTATCATTATTATAATTCTCCATCATGATTACCTCACTACTCTGCCTCTTCACGCCATAAATAGCAGGTTCACAGGTCCCAGAAGACGGTGTGTGTGTGAATATTAATGAAATAATGGTAGGTAGACAGTATCAGTGTGAGCATCATGAGTTAGGGCCGGCTAGCGTCAATATTGGCCAGGGTGTGGGCAGGGTTCCCTCTCCCCAGCTCCCCTTACTTGTAGTTACTGCCTCACCTCGCCAGTAAGGAGTATATTTATATACTACTAGATGATAGGGTACCCAGCTGTGCCCGGGTCTCTCTCTCCCTCTCTCTTTTTGCACCTTTCTCTCTCCATTAGCTTCCCCCTCTCTGATCTCTTATCTCGTCTCTCCTACCCTGTCCTCTAACATCCCCTTCTCTCTCTCTCTCTCTCTCTCTCTCTCTCTCTCTCTCTCTCTCTCTCTCTCTCTCTCTCTCTCTCTCTCTCTCTCTCTCTCTCTCTCTCTCTCTCTCTCCCCCCTCAGATCATTAAATACAGTACTTTAATAAATCGATAATCCTAAATACAGTAACTCTGAATTAGTGTCTATAGTTTCCTAGCACACGGTGGGAGTAAGCAGTCAAACTTTGAACATACGCGGGTAAACGGCGGGAGCAAGCAGGTATTCTCGCAGAAAACAAATGTCAAGTTTCAAACTATTCAAATTGCTGGGGTTGCTATAGATGCCGATGTTTCTTAAAAGTTGATACTAGGGCTGAACCCAACTAGCCAATGACGCGTGCAAACACATGTATATCATCTTGGAATGTTGACATGTTATTTTGTTAAACCATTATTTTTTGTATATATAATTTATTAAAAGTTGCAAGTTTATTTCCATTCACTAGCTTGTCAAACCACTTGGGCTGGGCAGTAGAGCGACGGTCTCGCTTCCTGCAGGTCGATTGAACGCCGACCTGCATGAAGCAAGACCGTCGCTCTACCGTCCAGTCCAAGCGGCTGGTAAATATAACGGGTTTTATATAAACGATGCGCATGTTAAACTGAATTCAGAAATGTCGTGACAAATGCTCACTGTTACGTAGGGCTAACGTTAAGCCTTCACGGACCTCCAGGACCAAGTTTTGTATTCACACCAGCATGGTCACCCCTCACAGACCTACGAGACCAGGTGGCCTGGTCTCGTAGGCCACCTGGTCTCGTAATCTACCTAGATCACGGTAGTCTAGGCCACCTGATTACCTTCGAGACCAGGTGGCCTCGTAGGTAATCACAGCAGCATGGTCACCCCTCACAGACCTACGAGACCAGGTGGCCTCGTAGGTAATCACACCACCATGGTCAAATACCTGGATAAATAGTTCAGCCGAGCGTCAATGGCACCAATTTAGAAGGTTGTTGAGGTGAACAAGGAGGCCCAGCGGGAGGCGCTGGGCGGGACCATCTGGTGACATCTGCATGCGGACGCCGACCTCAATGTTGACAACTTCTGCTTCCAAAGCGCTGCTTACAATTCTCCCATCTCTTGCTGGTAATAAAATCCAACAAGAGATGGGAGATCTGTGCTGTAGATACAAGTCGGTCCACTAGCGGAGTTTAAAACCAATCTAACTTATCCCAAACCAACCTAGCCTGTGTTAGGCTAACCGAGCCTAACATAGCCTAGCCTTAGGTAATAAATTCTAGCCTAAGCAATACTATACGGGCATAATCACTAGGAAAAGTGCTTGTTATGTACGGATTAACCACAAATTGAAAACATTGTGCGAGCAAGATTCCCAAACCAGTTTAATCGACCTCGGCAGCTTGCGAGACGTTAACTGGTATTCGTAAAAGCGAGAGGACGATATGCAAGTGTTCGTATAAGGAAGACAAGAAGGCAACATGGCAAGAGCGGGCTACGTTAGTGGTTGATAATGCGTTAATATTCCAGGCGTGGCATATATGTGCTATAAATTATTTGAGAAAAGATCGTAATATCTTGTCTGTTTACCATACGAGATGCTGGCAAGCACAGGGTGAGATACACACAGAAATCACAATAGCGTGATGCATCAAATGAACAACTGAGAAAGCAGGCGATGAGTCACAATAACGTGGCTAAAGTATGTTGACCAGACCACACACTAGAAGGTGAAGGGACGACGACGTTTTGGTCCGTCCTGGACCATTCTCAAGTCGATTGTCAATCGACTTGACGATTGTTCTCAAGACAATCGACTTGAGAATGGTCCAGGACGGACCGAAACGTCATCGTCCCTTCACCTTCTAGTGTGTGGTCTGGTCAACATATTTCAGCCACGTTATTGTGACTCCTCGTCTGCTTAAAGTCTACTATTACACCTGTAAATTGCTCCTGCTATTTACCAAGGCGTGATGCTGGGTATGTCTGCCCGGCTTCCAAGTCATCCTCTGTCGGCTGAACAAGCTGCCTCCAAAGCCAATGGCTTTTATGCAGCTGGTTATATGTATATCACCCATCACGCTATCACAGACGCATACAAATTGCAGACGTTCATCTACGTCAAAGTGCAGCACGCATGATGCTATGAATACGTCATCCCCTACACCCGCTGCTACACGTTATTACGTATTTAGATTGTCAAGAACGCAAACATTTCCTAGAAAACAAAAGGTCGCGGACATTAGTTACGTGCGCTACAGATTATTCGGAATAGACAAATAAATGTGACGGAACTAAATTGACATTGTAGGAGGAGGGAGTGCCCAAGGGATGTGTCCTGGGACCTTATTTGTTTATCGTATATATGTTATTTAGGCACAGGGTTGAGCCGCAATGTTTGGAAATGTCAAGAGAAAAATAAGGCGGAGAAAAATTTCAAATGTAGACAAAATCTTAATAGGCTTTCACGAAAGGCTGACAGATGCAGTTTAATGCTGAACAATTATACAGGTTTCTTAGATTGCATATTAATAATAATGTAATTATCTGATATCGGCTGGACAATGTTGAAATTGCGAAGTCTGAATGTGAGGAAAATCTAGGGGTCATGATTAGTGGGGATGGGGGGTGGGGGGTAGAAATAGCCTAAGCTACTCTATCCCTTTGGGATGTATTTTTTTCTTGTCTCAATAAACATACTTGAATTAGTGGGAATCTCAACTAAAAAAAAAAATCAATGTATGAATGTACGGAAAATAAGGCAAATAGGACACTAGGATATATTTCTAGAAGCGTTAGTAAAAAAATATACCTGGTGTTATTCTTCAGCTGTATAATGCTCTTGTTAGGCCCCATTTAGATTATGCAATTCAGTTTAGGTCGTCTTACTACAGAATAGACATAATTTAACTAGAACACGTTTAACGAAGGATGACAAAATTAATCTAACAAATTATAAACAGTCCCTATATAAAGAGAGAGATTGAAAAACTTACTGTACGTCTAGAAAAGGCGAAGAGATAGTTATTAAAGATATCAACACAAAATAGAACACGAAACAATGTATATAAATCGGGTAAGCTTACATTTAGGAAAGACCTGGGTAAATACTGGTTGAGAAACAGGGTTGTTGATTTACGAAACAAGTTACAAGGTAACGTAATAGATGTTCTATCACTGGGTTGTTTCAAACGTAGGTTAGACATATATCGCTGAGTTTTTGAGGGTGTAAATAGAGGCTTCCTCGTGTAGGCCAATTGGCCTTCTGCAGTTTGCCTTTTCTACACACACACACACACACACACACACACACACACACACACACACACACACACACACACACACACACACACACGGTTGGAACAAGTTAAGTGAGAAGGTGGTGGAGGCCAAGACCGTCAGTAGTTTCAAAGCGTTATATGACAGAGTGCTGGGAAGACGGGACACCACGAGCGTAGCTCTCATTCTGTATCTACACTTAGGTAATTACACACATATAAGCAGTGTGGTGGAGCTATAGGATGTAAAACCTTTACAGGCAAGAACATTACGGTATCACACCTCGTGATCACATAACTTTTATTTCTTGTTTTTGTTGGGATAGGATAGGATAGGTTTGTTGAGCCGCGGGGGGTTTGTGCAAAGTGTAGTAGATTCCCGGGGAGCCATGGAGACAGGGCCCCACAGCGGGTGAGGACGTTGAGTGATGGCACCCTACAGTAGGCCAAACATAAAAGGCCTGACAGGGAAGAAGAATAAGGGGGCCGGGGTGGAGGCAGGTAAGAGGGTGTGGAGGTGAAGGCGTTTGTTCAGAGCGGTGCTTCAGAGTGTGAGGTAAGAATGAGTGTGTGTACTCTCCTAATTGTGGGGTTGAGCCCGCCTCTCAACAGTCAATCAACCGGTGTACGGGTTCCTGAAGGTATTGGGCTCTATCATCTTCTTGAGGTTATCTTGAGATGATTTCGGGGCTTTAGTGTCCCCGCGGCCCGGTCCTCGACCAGGCCTCCACCCCCAGGAAGCAGCCCGTGACAGCTGACTAACTCCCAGGTACCTATTTTACTGCTAGGTAACAGGGGCATTCAGGGTGAAAGAAACTTTGCCCATTTGTTTCTGCCTCGTGCAGGAATCGAACCCGCCCCACAGAATTAAGAGTCCTGCACGCTATCCACCAGGCTACGAGGCCCCTGTGTGTGCGTGCGTGCGTGTATAATTATATACACGTGTCAACACAAGAGTCACTACAGAGTAAACTGCTTAAAACACTATCGCCGCCATAATTACCATGACGCAGCAAGACAGGCTGTCAAGACAGCGGCCGTCTGTGTGTGCCCGCGCAAAACAAAGAAAACAAAAGAAATGCAAAAAATGCAACATATTCTTGTTGTCCAAGATTCAGGTAGTGGGAACAAAACGTTCCAAAGTAGCACGGGCCACGGCGAGCCCGCAGCGGACTCCCCTGGTACAGGAGCGGGGGCTGTAACTAAATGCTACAATAATACGAAAACAGCCAAGTCCTCCATTACTGCTGAGTGAATAGGGGCTCAGTCGCTTCTCCTTGCCCAGGACTCGAGTCTGCCCCCTATGCCCCATCTGGAGTCGCTGGAACTTGAGGGATAACTCCATTATTCTTCCATTTCACGCAGCCCCGCTCCTGTGGCAGTCCACTACGGGCTCACCATAGCCCGTGCTACTTGGAACTTTTGTTCTGAGTAGCTGAATCTAAAAGAACAACTTCCATTTGTGACTATTACATGAGATATCGTGAGAGCACGGCAGGTTATCTCAAGGCGTAGCAGATCTGATGTGAAAAGTGGTAATGTGTTCTCTTTTCCGTCTTTAGTTAGTGTGACGTAACGTTGCTACCTTCAGAAGACAGTTTGTTAGTTTAGTTATCCCGTGATTAAGATAGCAGTGTGTTAATGCTCAGTTGTGTATGTATATATAGTTATATATATTGGGGCATAAAGAGATAGCAAGATAGGGAACGAGAGACGGAGGCAGAGATAAACCAACAAAAAATATCCACACAAAATATGATCGAGCTAAAGTTATTAACAGAATCAATACTCATGTCAGACCAATACAGAAAACGGAAGAGGCAACAGCTGATCATGTAAATAATGGAGACAGGTGGCGGGGGGCCAGTCGTTCTGAAGAGTCACTCGGGCGATAGACTTCGAGAGTCAAGGGGGAGAGGTCAGAAGTCACCGGGAGAGTACCGAGGGAGAGAGACAGACATGAGGGGTGTGTGAGGTAATGAGGTAGGAGCTAGAGAAAGGAAGTTTAGGAGGGTGAGAGGCGTCAGGCAACCAGTGTTCCTGTGAAAGGTAAATTAGGCATGAAGGAAGAGAAGGAAGAGGGGTAGAGATGGAATAGTCATAGAACAATCATCATCCATCGCCAATAACTCTCAGCCACCCACGCCAGACCTCGCTAAACTACTCGTCCCCCACCCACGCCAGACCTCGCTAAACTACTCGTCCCCCACCCACGCCAGACCATTCTAGTCTACACGCTCCTTTGATACCTGTTATTCACTACTATTATTATTACTCAGAGAAGAGAATATACGGCACCCGGGGGAAGACTTATGAGGCTCTCATGTAGGCACCTGTATACTTGTAAAATCATGCAAAAATTGACGGAAAGCGCTCAGTCGATTTTCTTGGTTTCAGTGTTCATATACATTTAATGAGAAAAACGTTCTTGGTCTTAGCTGGTTATATATCAACGTTGTTGTTGTTTTTAGATTTAACTACTCAGAACGAAGTGTCCATGTAGCACGGGCTATGGTGAGCCCGTAATATATATCAACCCATCCTCCTGTTTACATAGTACTTAACCATAGAATATATAGAAATTTGCAATATATATATATATATATATATATATATATATATATATATATATATATATAGAAAATATTTTCTATAGGTTAGGTTTTATTTGCAATATATATAGAAAATATTTTCTATATATATTGCAAATAAAATCTAACCATCCTAGGCCTAATACACGCTATATGAGGCATAATATAGTACACATATATGCTATACTAGGCCTAGGAATATTTAAGTTTTTTTGGCTTATTTTTGGGGGTGGACTTAATAAAAGTGAATGGTATCAAATTCTTCTAATTGTCCGTTATGTCAATATATGTATTATCCACATAGTTCCAAAAAGACTATCCAAACAGGAGAATGGGTTGTATTATATATACATATATAAATAAATAAACTTTTCAGTTGCATATAGTCCTGGGGACCATTCAGGCTTGCTCGTACATATATAAATATATATATATAAATAATGCCAGTGTCGGAACACGGAGGAGGAAATGAAACAGGAATTTCCTTAAGTACTTTCGTATTTTATAATACATCTACAGAAGCATAGTTTCTCTCTGGTAGCCACCTGGTAACACAGTGATGCTGCCACCCACCCACCCACTTCTCCTGCCACCCACCACTACTGCCACCCACCCACTACTGCCACCCACCCACTACTGCCACCCACCCACTATAAGCACCTTCCCCGCCCCATTGCTTGTCAGAGGTCAGGGGCTTATCCCCCCTATCTGAAGGCCAGCTCCTCTCTACCGACCGCCCCGCGTTCAACTCCAACACACACCACTATTTATTTATTATAATTCAAGCCTCAAACTTTACGCAAACAATTGGCTAATTTTTTTATTTATTTTTTTTATTGCGTAAAGGGAAGAGGGAGGTCGGGGTTGTGTACATAGTGACAGCTGCTAGGAAATGACATGCTTCTCCTGTATAATGAAGGTGATGCATTATTAACATGACAATGGGCGTATTGTTCATATATAAGGTATGATAGTATGCGTACGTGCGTATATATATGCTTCTATCTGTATTTATCACTCTCAAAACATCAATTTACTACTGAAATTTGAAGCGTGAATTAAATTGAAACCAGCAGCAGGGAAAGTAGTTTAATTACACTTAGGATTACTGATACAGCGTGAGTTTGTAGTTAATGAGTACTTTGTTAGTATTGATGCAGGTTCAATATGTAGTTAGCGAAGTTCAGGGCTCAAGTACATACATGCTGATTGGTTAGTTAAGGTACTGGTCTTAATAATTAATATCTTGATTAATTAATAATTAATAAGTAATCGTCTTAATTATCGAGGTTGATGAGCCTCAAGTCCAACACCAATGTCTCGTGTATGATGAGGCTGTATATATCTCGTGTATGATGAGGCTGTATATCTCTCGTGTATGATGAGGCTGTATATCTCTCGTGTATGATGAGGCTGTATATCTCTAGTGTAGGATGAGGCTGTCTATCTCTCGTGTATGATGAGGCTGTCTATCTCTCGTGTATGATGAGGCTGTATATCTCTCGTGTATGATGAGGCTGTCTATCTCTCGTGTATGATGAGGCTGTATATCTTGAGACAATACAGTCCTGGTCGTGAAGATCAATGGCTCAGGCAACATATAGGTACTTACATTCTCCATTCATTTTAAAATTGTTTTAATTTCTAGCACGAGAGAAGCGCAGATATCAAATAAGAAGCCACACTCCAGAGGGTCAGTTTCACTCGTAAATACAACACCCAAATCCCCCCCCCCCCTCCCATTACTGCATTATACAAAATACAATTTTGCTGTATTTGTCTGACTGTACAGCAACTTCTCTAGGGTTTAAGACCACAACTTACCAATTCAAGTATAATTAACCCCCTTAATATATAGTTCAGGACTAAAGTAAATTCTGGGTGTATATATATACACAGAAGTGAAGTACGCCTGTGTATACATTATGGAAGAGAAAGTGTATTTATTTATTTATATACAGGAAGGTACATTGGGTTAGAATACATAGCATAGTATTTACAATCTTGTAAAGCCACTAGTACGCGCATTATGGAGCTAGTCTGCCGCTACACAACCGGGATCCACCGACATTGGGAGTTCCTTGGGAGAGGTGAGCAGTATCTCAGGGTTCATGGGTCCACTGGAGCAGGGGGTCTAGGCCAGACGACCGACGCGCCACGCTGGTAAAAGGCTATACAACCAGCTCGGCTGACTGACTGGGAACGGTGGTAATTATTCTCTTGTTATAGAGGCATTAGTTATCCGCGAGCGGCAGCCGGTGGCCGTCCCTCGGGTCTATCCTATACACACAAAAGTTCGTTATAATAATATATCTATCTATATCTCCAAGCACAACCAGATGAAACACACACACACACACACACACACACACACACACACACACACACACACACACACACACACACACACACACACACACACACACACACACACACACAGTAGAGCAGCCGCGGCGGTAGGGCTTGGGGAGGGCGCCTGCTGTATCGTTGATGTAATTTATATGGCGAGGCGTCTTGCCGCTATGAAATTATAATCACTGATAAAATTCACATTGGCATGAGAGTGTGGTTAGTGAGTGGATGGGTGATAGAGGAGCGTGTTGGAGATAAAGAGGCGGGGGGGGGGGATAATTGGGAGGGGCTGTGTTGGGGCGGCCTTTCCCTTGTTAAGTTTATTTTCTTGCTTCATTTATGAACTTAATTTTCTTCCTGTTATTTTAAATGTTAATTATTTGAACAGTAGTTTGTTCTGATAATGTGGGCTGCTATTTTCTGTTTTAATGTTTGTTTAGGTGGCGTTAGTGTGTGTGTGTGTGTGTGTACTCGCCTAGTTCTGCTTGTGGGGTTGAGCTCTGGCTCTTTGGTCCCGTCTCTCAACTGTCAATCAACAGGTGTACAGGTTCCTGAACCTACTGGGCTCTATCATATTTACGCTTGAAACTGTGTATGGAGTCAGCCTCCTCCACATCACTTCCTAGTGAATTCCATTTATTAACTACTTTGACACAAAAAAAAATTATAATATCTCTATGGCTCATTTGGGCACTCAATTTCCACCTGTGCCCCCCCCCCTCCAGTGCGTGTGCCCCCTAGTGCGTTTCCCCCCTAGTGCGTGTGCGCGAGTGCGTGCGTGCACGTGCCATGGTCAACTCACAAAACTGTTTAAGGAGTCCAGACTTTACCAAATACAGGCGGGAGAAATTTATGTATTTCCTTACTCGCTGAGTTTATTTGGGGGATGAAATAGGTGATTAGTAGGTCCATGTTGGGTGTAGGCATTGGGGGGGGGGGGCGGGGCAGGTATGGGTGTGACTTCGGGGTCTAATTGGATTGCTACCCATCCACAGCATGAGTGGATGGGTACGATGGGCCTGGGTACGAGCTTTCCTATTTGGCCCATTGTATGGGTTTAGGTATTGGCATCTTTATAGGGTTTGGCCCGTCTGAAGTATTCCATATAACATCTCCGTAAGAGATCGAGGCGCCGCCAAACGAGAAACTGTGAAATAAGTGACTAGAGAATTCATAAAACAGCTGAGGATGGAGCTGACCGCAACTAGGACACTGCAATATATATGCTTCATGATTACATACTCCAAAACACACACACACATACATTATCCATACATGTGAGGAAGGGGGGTACACCTTTACCTTGATTTACCTGAGGAGCACTAACATACTAGTGGCCTCAATGTTCAACATGTCCACCCTTTCTCTCTACAGAACCCTTATTCTATTTGTCTTGCTCGCTTTGCTTTCACCCTCCTCCCTTACTCTCGCTCCCTCCCTTACTCTCTCCCTCCCTTACTCTCCCTCCCTCCCTCCCTTATTCTCTCCCTCCCTCAACAGACCCGGTAGATACAATCGACGCCGACAGAAGAACGGTCAATATGTTTCCCGCCGGCCCCAGAGGCGTCTGGTGATGCTAATTGCAGTGAGAAGAACGTGAGGGGTGGACCTCACACCCCAGGACCAAGCCTCCCCGACCTCCCTACAGGTGAGGTGCGAGGAAGTCCTTCTTTGCCAACAGCAAGCGGCGTCAGTACTCTAGAAAACGAGGAAAAGGCGTCTAAAAGGCCCAGAAAGCTTAGAGAATAAGTATACTACATAATGCTGCGCAAAATGGGACATGACAGCTTAAGCTGCGCCCTTGGGAGTCACGAATAGGTAATCACATGTGCGCGAATAAAAAAAATAAGCCTTGTTGTTGGTTTGTTATATATATTTTTTCTTTTGGGAAATTCTGACTTACCTTGCGTAAAGGAAGTGATAGAGACGTTGTGAAGGTCTGCGGTCACCAGTTGGCCGCACCGGGGCAGCACCTCGACCCGGTACGTCAGCGCTTCCGGTGGGGTGTCCCGGTCCTCCACCGCCAGTACGCGATGAGACAACACAAACCCCAACGGCCCTTCTCCGTCTTCGCCCATTGGCGCGAGGAACGAGGCGCCTTCATTCACGACAAGTTGAGGAACGCCATTGTCCACTGGCTGCACCCTTACGGGAAGCCGCTGGGGTTTGCGGGTGACACGGTCGGTGTTCGGATACACGTAGAAGTCGGCGTGAGTGCCGTCGGTGGCGATGAAATGAATCTGGTCGGACGACGTTTCCGACCCGTCGTGGTGGTACGTAATAAGGTTAGCCTCCAGGTCGGACATGGTAAACTGGCGAGTGACGCTCGTGGTGTTGAAGAGGAGCTTGCCATGCAGAGGGATGCGTGTCACTGTGAACCTCAAGAGACTGGGTGCCGTGTCTCGGTCCTCCAGCTTAAGCTCGAAGGGCGTGATGATCTTCGAACCCCCTTCCTGAACTTTCAGCTCTCCAACGAATAGCACCGGTTTCTTGTTGTCAACGTCGCTAATGGAAATTCGGAAGGTCCTGAAGACAGAGTTGAAGCCGTCTGTGACCACAAACTCAAAGGAGTCCATCTTCACCTCATCTGTGGAGTCGTGGATATAGAAGACTTTGTTTCCTGCGAGCTGAAGCTGTGTGAAGCTGATGAGTGGGATACCTGGCGTGTTCGTCGCCTCCAGGTGTCCCTTGGAAGGCATTCTGGTAATAGTGAATTTCAGAAGTTCATCTGGGCTGTTGAGGTCACTCGTGCTGAGAATTTCTGTTGTCAAGGCCACTCTCCCTCCCTCGGGGAGCTCAACACCTTTGTTAACAACGTCTGGATACGTGTTATCCTCACCCTTAATATTGATATAGAAGATTCTGTCAGAGTTCGTGTTTTTGCCATCCGACAGGTCGAACTTGAGAGCGTCCCTCACTCCAGGAATTCCAGTGTGTCTGTACTGGATCACGCCGTCGTCAATGTTTTTCTGGGTGAAAGTCATCCCGGAAGTGAGGTCCAGTAAGCGTACTAGAGTTTTATGTTCCAAAAACTCGATTACTCCGAATCTGGGAGCCGTGCGGATGATGTAGGTGATGTTTTGATCATGTGAATCCAGGTCTTTAGCCATCAGCTCCTTGTTGGTGATTATGGTTGCCTCTTGGATGTCAACCTCGAGGAGGGTGTTGACGGCGAGTCTGGGTGCTTCGTCGTTTACTGGGAGAATCTTGACTTTGATATCCTTCTTCACTTGATGCTCCGGGTCCCCGTCCGTCAGCTGCAGTTCAAAGTTATCTTCTGTGGTCTCGCTGTCGTCATGGTTGTACATAATCTTGGATGAGGTGTTCAGGTCTCCCATGGTAAACTGATCGATAACCTTAAACCCAGATGGACCATGTTGCAACAGCCTACCGTATTTAGGCTTCCTAGACACCGTGAAAGTGAGTTGTTCCTTTGGGTAATCTCCGTCAGTAGCTTCAATAACTGGAGGTTCGAGGATCAGATCCATCCCTTCCATTACAATGAATTCCTTTATAAATAATTCTGGTATTTCATCATTGTAAGGTTCAATATAAATGTGTAGAGTCACATCAGGGGACCTGTTGACACCGTCCGTACAGTGGAAGACGAGTTGATCCTCCCTGGGCTCCACCTTGATGTAAACACTCTGAACGTAGTTAAGATAACCTAACATGACGTCGCTCAGGCTGAAGGACGTGACGGGTATGCCCTTCCTCGACCTCTGATGACCTGGGCTGGGGGACGTGTTTTCCACATAGCCGTTCCTCGGCTGATGGGTGATGACGCAAGTTAGCTTCGTGTCTTCGGTGTCGGAGTCGCTCACATTGATGTGCTGGGATGTTATGGGTGTCTTGGATGACTCGTCGACGGTGATGGCCGAGTTTATAAACACTTGGGGAGCAATGTTGTCGACTGGCTCGATGGTTATGTTGACCATGACCCGCTCGAGTCTGTTGCCGCCATATATGTACTCATCAGACATGTCAGAGAGAATAAGGGTGAAGTTATCAGTGATTGACGACTTTCCAATCTCGCCGCCATCATGCTTGTATGTTACTTCCTTTCTTTCTATTGACATTTGTGTGAAGCTCGAAGTAGGAACTCCATCGAGCAGGATTCTTCCATAAATAGGTGCTTCCTGGACAATGAACGTGAGTCGGATTGAATCTGAATCTGGGTCGGTGGCCCTGAGAACATTGGTGGAGATGAATGCCTCTTTACCCTCCAGAACCCTGACCATGGCGCCTACGGCGTTGGACTCCTGTTCCAGCAGCTGAGGCGGCTCGTCGTCGATAGGTTCGATCTGGATAAAGAAGATGATGGGCATAGTGTGAACCCCATCTGTCACCTCCAAGTTGAAGCTATCTTGATCCATCTCATCTTTGCCATTGTTAACGTACCGGATGAACTTGTTGATGATGTCTCTTCGGGTGAACTCATTTCCTGTGGCCAGGGCGAGGGTGCTGTACAAGAGGCTCCCGTGACTGGGCAGTTGTGTTACTTTAAACACCAAGTTGTCCACATCTGTGTCTGGGTCAGAGACGTCCAGGTGCTGCCTGGTGATGATCACTTCGCTCCTCTCCTGCACCTGCTGCAGCCCTCTGTTGACCACCTCCGGCGGCTGGTTGTCAACAGGTGTCAAGAAAATGGTGAATGTCTGTCCAGAAAGGTGATTCCTGTTCTCATCCTCCACTTGAAACCTGAACTGGATGATTCTTGGAACGATTCCAATTTCTTGATCCGGTGGTTTGAAGGAAATTTTATGATGGTTGATCTGAGCTTGAGTAAATGATTCAACGATTGTCTCTGGGGACTCCGCCAGAACGAGGCTTCCTGGAGACATTGGGTCATTTACATCGACATTATGTAGAGGCTGGATTCGATATATCAAGGAAGTGTTCTTGGAGTCCAGGTCAGTGTAGCATAGATTCTCTTTCGTGAGCGGCGTGAGCTCGTGTTCGTGAACCATGAGTGACAGTGAGCAACCACTGCTTAACTCGGGAGGTGTATCATCCACTGGCAGGATTTTGACGGTTATTTCCATAGTTTCGGACTCATTTGGGGGCTCGCTGTTGTCACTGAGTTTGAAGTATACCCTGTCTATCACTGGAGCCCACTGCTGAGCCCCGCGATGGACATAGTGCACGAAACCGTCAGTTATATCCCTCTGTGTCCACACCATCGCCGACTTCTCGTACTGATTATTGACGTACTGCCAGCGCTCTGGGTTGGGCGGGAGCGAGGGACGACGAAGGACCAGCATTCCCAGCCTTGGCTTAGGTTCCTGGAGGATGAAAGTAATGTTGGCGTCATCACTGTCGATGTCTGTGGCGCTCAGTTGGAAGGGCGTGACCACCACTTCCTCGTTTTTCCTCACCTCGAGCCCAGTATTGACGTGGGCAATAGGTGGTTCATCATCCTCGGGAAAGATGGTGATGGGGAAGAGGAACTCCACTTCGTGCTGGGTGTCACTCATCCTCAGGAGGAGGTTGTCAGTGTAGGTGTCGGTGTGGTCGTGTTGGTACACCACTGCCCCCGTGTCAAGGTCAGCTGGAGAAAAGATCTTGGTTTGAGCGCCCATCAGCAGTAGCTGCCCATGCTGCAAACCACCTATGATCGTTAGCGTCACGTCTGCTAAGTTGTCCTCGTCGGCGATTTCAAGGTTCCTTGCTGAACTAAGGCTCCGAGACTGTCCCTCGAGCAGCTCTAATCCATCGTTCTTGGTGGCGATAGGCGCCATGGTCATCTTCGGGTTCACAACGATCATAACTTTAAATGGCGGTGAGGACAGGCCCTCATCGTCAAGAATTTCCAACTCGACTTCGAAAACTCGTTTGGAGTTGGAGTCCTCAGCCGGCGGTTTGTACGCGATCTTCAAGTTTGTGACATCTCTCTGGAGGAATGAGGCGACGGGCACGTTCTGGTCAGCAGTGCTGACTAGCGTACCCTCCCCGCGACGCAACGGTTTGGTCACGTTGAATATTAGTCGCTCTGCCGGGGTTTCCCTGTCCACCGCCGTCACCACTAACCTCGTCAGCGCCGTCATAACAAACTGGTTTACATCCAAAAGGAGCAGACTCTCAAAAGACACGCTTGGCGGTGTATTATCTCTCCCGGGGTGGATGCGAACTGGGAACTGGAAGTACTCCTGCTTGAGTAGCATCATGGAGTTTTTATCATACAGCTCCACCTTGGCTGGGATGTAGTCTAATTTGGTAGAGGATTCCACAGTATGTTGATACCTAATTCCTGACTCTAGAAACTTATAGCAGGTATGCATGTAATCTGTAAAAATGTTGCCCGTGTCAGAAACTACAGTACCATACCTGGGCAAGCCCAAGGACTTCTGAAGGAGCGTGATCTTGCACTCGTGGCGGGAGTCGTCGAAGGCAAGGACGATGTTGCCTCTGTCGATCTGGTTGCTGATGCCCAAGAGCTTGTCTACGTTGAGAGGCACCAGCTTGATCACCACCTCCAGCTGCATGTCGTACAGAATTCTTGTGGAGAGGGTGAAGGGGACGATGAAGGTGTCTCGGTGGGTGTCGTACCGCAGCAGCAGTTTGACTGTGTCCTCCGACAGGTGTCGACCGCCCAGGTGCGTGTACTGGACTTCGTTCAGGCCAAAGTTGCAGGTAAAATTTGATGGCGTGAGTTTACCAGGCCGCTGAGTCAGAGGTTCGTTATTAATCACCATTACTTGGCAACGATGACCTGGCAAAACCTTTATTTTCAGGTCATTCTCAGAGTCCAAGTACCTGACTCTTCCGTATGGTACCTCAAGCTGACGGTTCACGAGGATAATATCATTTTCCTCTATAACGTCTTCATAAATATTAATTTCGTCATCGATGGCTTCAGTCGACTCTCCAATAAAGTTATCTTCCTCGTAAAAATAATCGCCATCTTCATTCCCGGATTGTACTTCAAATTCGGTCTCATCCCTCGTAGACAGTTCAGGCCTCAAATCTTCCTCACTAAAGCTTTCCTGCCTACCGAAGCCCCAAATTTTAGATTCTAAAACCCCGGCTCTCTCTCTACCATCAACCCCAGTGAGTAAGTTTCCCTCTAAACCACTAGAGACCCCTGAGCCAAGTTCGTTCGAACTGATAACATCACTTCGAGAGCCAATTTGTTTCCCCTGATCCCTCCTGTTGAGAACTTGATGGGGAAGGGGCAGAGAGGAAGACCGTCTCTGAGGGAGCACTGACGATGAGAAAGCAGATAATAATGACTGTATTGTTGTCGTCGGTGGAGGAATGGGTCCTGGCCCGGCACCCGGTGTCCGGACAGGCATGAGGGAGTCGCTTGGAAGTTGGGGCGGCGGGAACCAGGGAGCTGGAGACCCGCCTGAAGGAGGGTAGGAATGTATCGTGTGCAGGGACGTGAGCGCGGGTCTGGTTGTGCCGGCGGGAGAATAGGATGGCGATAAAGGCCTCGCGTCGCCATGGGTCCTTCCGGAGAGGAAATTACCAACATACGCGGGGAAGTAGTCGTTTTCGTGGTAGTCATCGCTCCCGTCGCCGCTCGAATCGTACCAGGAGTAATCGTTGTCTTGACCGGTCACTGAATTCACGACCACTCCGCAGGTTCCCGCTAACAACGCAAGAGCCACGCTTGCCTTCATGTTTTCCACGTCCCACATAAATAAGCAATATATATATATATGCTCACTGGCTAGCTACATTAGTGGCCAATGTGAATAGTAATTTTGGCATTATTGCTACAAGTTCACAAGATCATAACTTCATTATACCGTAAGTTCCAAGTCCAACAAAGTTCTGCAATAAGTCTTATCACATTTGCATATAAAATGCTTCAAAATTGAATGTCCATTCAAGTGATAGTATCAGCGAAGCATGAACACTAATTCTATAAAAAAAAATAGTTCCATTTTGGGGGTTTGTATAGAAACATTAATACGTCCCTATCACGTGGGGAAAAAAATAGGAGACATTTCAAATATAACCCAACACCGGAAATGTGAATTAATAACAGGAGGAACCGGCGGGAGCTGCTATCTGGGTAGGAGGTCCGTCCGCCTCCCAGTAGCAGAGGGGGCTTCGTAAACCAGTCAATCTCCCTGCAAGACTTAGTCGAGAACGCGTGCGCCGTCACCGCCACCACCGGGGTCTAGCACCCGACCACAACCTCCGGGCACGACGTCGGCCCACACACTGCCCGCTCAAACCCAGCAATACCCAGCCATGCCCAGATGTGCTATAGGTGCCCCGCGCTGCCTGATGAGCGCTGGGAGGGCACACGCGCCCTGACAAGCACGTGCAGGAACCCTACCCACTTCCTCCTGCATGCACACACACATTTACAACTAAACATGTGCATGCATACACATGATTGCAACATGCCAATTTCAAGGGAATTGATAGGACAGAGTATTTGGAATGGGTGATACACGCAAGGGGAAACTGGTAGATATCAAGTACACAAATGAGCAACAGAAATGTTACAAAAATTCAGTGTTAGATTAGTGGCATCCACAGCTTCGTATATAGATATGACAGCCCAGTAGGGTCAGCAAACTATCAGTTGACTGAAGGTTGAGAGGCGGTACGCAAGACCTGAAGCTCTCACAAGGTGTGTGTGACAAGACCAAGGCTCTCACAAGGTGTGTGTGACAAGACCAAGGCTCTCACAAGGTGTGTGTGACAAGACCAAGGCTCTCACAAGGTGTGTGTGACAAGACCAAGGCTCTCACAAGGTGTGTGTGTGTGTGTGTGTGATGTACTCGTCACAAGACAACAACAACAACGCTGGGCGGTTGTGCACAATTACCTCCAGACACATAATCACAAGACAATTTCCCGCTCTGTCATCTCGTCAGTTTCCCCCACACTCTCGCTCTTTCACCTCTTCATTTCTTTCTCCTATTCCATTCTTTCTGTTCCTCCTGCTATATTCAGCCTAGTCAATCCCATCCACCACCTATACAGAGTCCTACAGAAGCAGGGATGTGAGGGTGCCCCCTTCCCTTGTGTTATGATACCTTGGTTAATTTGAAAGATTGGACATGTTGTTAGGCTCTTTTGTAGCTTTATCAGAGCTACATTCATTATTTAATTTTACATCTGTAAATCTGGTGGTCTGGGGGAGCTCAAACCATTTGTGCGTCAGGAGTTTAATGCGCTGCTTCCTGCAGTACTGCGTGATGGGAGAGTACACGTTGCCCCCACACACTAGCGGGGCGTGATTGATGATGTTCTTCAGGTAGGCGCAGCCAGAGTGAGCCTTGTGGTTGACTAGAGAGGGGGAGAGAGGGACGAGTGAGAAGGAGAGGGGGAGAGAGGAGAAGAGTGAGGGGGGAGGGAAAGAGGGATGTAGAGTGAACTTGGGAAGAAAAGCGAGTGAGCGCACACTAGAGACAGAGAGAGGAGAGAAAAAAGTCATCGTCGTTCGCGTCCATATAACAAGGCGGTGTCAGACTAAGAACATCCCCCCCCTACCCCCCGAACTCCCGCCCCCTTCATTCCCCTTTGATATCGCCGACAAGTCCATCATCTCCCCCCCCCTCATCCCTCCCCACCACTGGCCCTGTGAGCTCTGCGACCCATACATGGCACTCCAAGATGCCAGCTATGCTCCGCCTCATTGACAGCTCTACTATACAGTCCTTAATAGCAAGTGACACTCCCCTGTCTTCCGCCGCCATAAGCCTCGGGTCCGGTCTCTCTGTCGCACCCACCAAACACCCGGTAACACTGGGTATCATCACCGGTATAATACTGGTATAATAGTCATGGCAAGGTTCAGAGCCTTGGGTGGTCAGTATGGGGGATGACTGTCCCACAATACATTCGTCCGCGATGTTGGGTATCCATGGCAACCCGTTCGCGATGTTGGGTATCCATGGCAACCCGTCCGCGATGTTGGGTATCCATGGCAACCCGTCCGCGATGTTGGGTATCCATGGCAACCCGTCCGCGATGTTGGGTATCCATGGCAACCCGTTCGCGATTTATTCCTATATTTGTATGTCCGTTTTATGGAATCGTCTGCCACAATAATATTTAGCGAAGATGGAGACAGAGAGGAGGAGGGAGATCTTATCTTGAGGTTATCTTGAGATGATTTCGGGGCTTTTAGTGTCCCCGCGGCCCGGTCCTCGACCAGGCCTCCACCCCCAGGAAGCAGCCCGTGACAGCTGACTAACTCCCAGGTACCTATTTACTGCTAGGTAACAGGGGCATTCAGGGTGAAAGAAACTTTGCCCATTTGTTTCTGCCTCGTGCGGGAGATGGAAGAGGGGGAAGTGGGAAAGTGTGTGTGTGTGTGTGTTGGGGGGGAAGGTGGGAGAGAGGGCGTCGGGGGAAGGTGGAAGACAGTTAAAGGAAAAGCCAGAGTGCATGTTGAGCTTCATAGGATTGTAGGATTGGGTGGTTATAAATAGGAGCCGCCTCGTATGGGCCAATAGGCCTTCTGCAGTTGCCTTTGTTCTTATGTTCTTCGTCACAGACACAGACAATACGTTGATCAGAACGTGATGCCCCGCAGAACGAGACTCTGACTCGCTCCATAATAAGAACAAAGTCATTAGCAAGAACACTGACACCGTCCCCAACAGAGTACCGCTGACACCGTCCGTGCGCGCCAGTGTTCGTAACTGCATGATTTAATACACGTGAAGGAGGCGGAGACTCCCTGCGGGGCGTTCCCAGAGTGACGGATGAGAGTCAAGGCAGCAGCAGGAGGAGGATGGGGCGTGGAATGAAGGGGGGAAGGGGAGGACCCGTCCTCTTACAAATTACGTCGCTTTTCGGACGTATGCGCTCTGGCTGAAAAAAAAGGCCGTAATTTGAAAATGGAAAAATAATTGAAAATTTTGGAATTTTGTTTTCCAAAAAACAGCAATTAAGTCAGGTCACACACCGCGCGCTTCATCCTCCAGACTTCCCTACCGCTGCTAGTCTCATGTCCCTCGCCATGTAATGAATATGATTACTTATAACAAGCTGGTAAGCATAGTTGGGATACACGTCAGGGGTTGGCAGGATCCGTTTAGGGTGCTTTGAAGCGGTGACAGCTGTTGTGATGAGGTCATAAGGTCGAGTGTGACCCAAAGTCGAAGCTCGCCCTCAGACCTCTACCCTCTTGTCGCGGAGATAAACAGCGCTTCCATCCCCTCTATTCTTCTCTAATATCCAGCTATCAAAAATAATCTGATTTCCTTCACTGATGATCTGAGTGCCTCCAAGTTCTCTTAACTGTTATCGGATCACCCTGAGAAAGCTTCTATTGGCATGTCAGTGATACAAAGCGATATCGAGTAGACTAAGGGAGGGTTTTTGTGGTGCGTTGGTTCCTTGGTGCGTCCCAGTTACCTGGGGACTGAAGACTATATTTCAGTAACGTGTTGGCCAGCGGTCGTGTCGTTGGGTCGGACCTTACCTGTCCGTAGGACCTGCCTGAGTAATGACCTGAAGGTTGGTGGACATTCGCTGGGTTGGGGAGAATATATTGTGTTGTCTCTATACAGCTGCTACTCTTGTCCTCCCTTCCCACCCTCTTGATCTGAAAGCAAAGCTTTCTACTTTCCTCTCACCTTTCCGACGAACGAAAGCGTTCCGCGAGCGCTATGTCATGGGTTCGTATCCTGGCCGGGGAGGATTTACTGGGCGCAATTCCTTAACTGTAGCCTCTGTTTAATGTGTACTTGGATGAAAAAAACGATTCTTCGCGGCGGGGATCGTATTCCAGGGACCTGCCCGAAACGCTACGCGTACTAGTGGCTGTACAAGAATGTAACAACACTTGTATCCATGATTAAGACCTCAAAAAAAAAAAAAAGCGGCCACTCAAAAGGTTACCACCGGCCACCGGCAAGGTGTCATCGTCGACTGGACTCCCAAGCCAAAACATCTATTCACAAATGTACGGAATAAGGCAAATAGAATACTGGAAATATATTTTCGCAACAGGACTTCTAATATAATTCATCTTTTTTTTTAAATGAGGCCTCAACAATTGTAAGATAATGCATGTCAGTTTTCAACCCGTTCTCGCAAATTTAATAAGTCAATATTGACTTATTAAATATGTGCATAGGTGACATACTTAACATAATAGATTCCCTTAAAAAGATTCATAGAAAACACCAACCTTACCTAACCTTGTTAGTATCTTAAGATAAGCATCTTATTGCTTCGTAATTACAATTATTACCTAACCTATAATAGGTATAGGTTAAGTAATAATTGTAATTACGAAGCAATAAGATGCTTATCTTAAGATACTAACAAGGTTAGGTAAGGTTGGTGTTTTCTATGAATCTTTTTAAGGGTATCTATTATGTTTAGTATATCACCTATGCACGTAGTTAATAAGTCAATATTGACTTTACGAATTTGCGAGAACGGGTTGCAGTTTTGGTCAACATAAACTCACCTGAACGGGTAGAGAGTTGTGTGATAAACTTGATCTTAGGAACCTTGATATTGTGAGAGATTAAGAAAGCTTAATTTACGTAGAGATTAAGGGGCGGCATGACTGAAGCATACAAATGGATGAATGGGTATATTTAAGGGACGGCATGACTGAAGCATACATATGGATGATTGGGTAAATCAAAGGGTATTTATATATTTCAAACCTTATTTAAACACGAAACAATGA